TCAGCTGATATTATGTATTTTAAGTTTCACAGCTGATTTTATGTTTAAGTGTTTTCATGTTTTTTTATGAAATTATCGTTTCATTTAGCTGTACTAACATGATAGAGCGTGAATAAAGTTAATTAAACCTTGTAAAATAAAATGATTCGTTTTCATCGGGATCGATTTTCTTTTTGTCCTATCATCAAAGGTATCGTTAGTTCTATCGTCTGCCTTCGTTTTAGGGAGCGTTTCACAAACACCCGTTATAATTCTTCTGTTTGTGTCTCCTCCTAAGCGGCTGGATTTTGATGAAATTTTGTGTGTTTGTGTGCGTGTTTAATTTGATTCGAGAATGGTTTATATTCAAAATTGGATCCAGTAGGTGTCGCTGTTGTCAAAATCTAGAAATCAACCATGTGAAACTTGAGCGGATCGCTAGTATTATATGTATTAATACCTGAAGAGAAAACTTTGAGAAAACACCTTTTAACATATTGCGCGCACGGAGAAATGTGAGATTTGGCGTAGTTTGAGTTTATATGGAATTGGAGTACAATAAAAGCTATCTACGAGTTTATTAATATTTTTTATTAAAACATGAAACATAATAAAATAAAACATTCACTGTCTTCATTTATACTGCCAATATCAAACACTTATTAATCTGTCGTTTGTTTGCGTTCATAGTGCCAATGTCAAACCATATTATTTCAAATACGTTTGCAACACATCAAATAGTATAATATAACCACTGCATTTTAGCACATTATCTCTGTACTAATTCTCTTCAAAGTATTTTAATATCATAATCTCTAACTGATTTCCTTTAAAGTATTTTAAAACGTTGCCAACAAATAATTATTATTGACAGATTAACTGAATAAGCTGTAATTTTTTTCATTTTGAATATTCCTTTTATTATAGTTTTTGTTTTGTGTTTTATGTATTAATGTGCAGATTAAAGTGAAATACAGCTTTTTCGATTAAAAAAAACTTAAAAATTTATTGAATTTAAATCGAATTTCAACCCCTGGACGATAACTAGTTTAAATTATACAAACTTATGTTTATTTTTTATTACAGTTCATACCAATTACTTATCGGGTCACTTTAAATTTGTTTGAAAAGGGTATTGACTACAGACTTAATTAATCTTGTCTGTATTTATACTAGCAAAGGTTGAGCAAATCAGTTATTATCTGGCATTGACAGGATGAAATAATTGAAATAAAACTTTTGATTAAAATTCGAATTTATTGTGACTATATAACTTCATTTAAATTGTGTGAGCGTTTTGGTCTTTAAAAAATCTTTGAAGTTTTCGGTCACATTCGTGAAATTATAATACGAGTATTAAAGAAATTTATTTATTTTTATTTGTGATAACAGGAGGATTTTTTACTTCTACCCTTACTATCTATCCTGGACTAAGAATCTAAATGCAGATGCGTAATTAACTGTGACGTCTATTATGATGCTGGTTTTCGTCACTTACTTTATAAAACACACTTAAAATAATGTGTTTTGACGGTTTTTGTGGTTACATTAGTACTGGAGATATAATAGTCCATAAACCAACCTGAGCATAAATTTATTTGCCTATTACTAACTACGATAGCAATACTAGGCGCACCTCACTTATTCCAACTTTCTTCGTGTTTTTTCCGATTTAACTATTTGGACCACTGAATTAATAAGCTTTTAGAGAGCATTAATTTGAAGAAATTTTTTGATTGATGAGTATGAAAATTTGTCTACCAAAGGTTTTAACTATCCGCTTTCCTTATCCGAGAGTTAAGATTGCTTTGAACTTAATTATTTTAGTCTAGTTTATTGAATCCAAAGGTAAACAAGCTGCTTATGAACAAAACGTTTTTGCAAAAGCGCAGCGATACTTCATGCTGATCAGCTTCTTATCCTCTATAAGACGCAAGTTGGTTTGTGCTTGGAGTAATATTTTCTCATTTGGGCTTGTGCTGCAAAGTACCACTTAGCAGGACGGCATTCGGCTAGGCATGCTAAAAACTTTTTGGTGACCCTGATTTATTTAAAACCAATATTGGCAGCCTCGTGCACTAACAATGTGTTGCTACACTATGTTCTCTTGGATACGTTACGGAAAGTGTGCGCTGGGATTATACAATTTAATTTCTCTTTTCCCTTTCCATTATCGGACGACCAGATGGATGGTGAGTATCAGAACCCTTCGTTTCAATATACTATACAACAATTTTTTTTTTCGATTGATCAATAAATCATTCAAATTTTTATAACATATAAAACGTCAACAATTCTCTTTTGCAAAACATTTGTAAAAGAGAGCATCATGTTAAGACGTAAAATGAAACGAGAACATAAAAAACGGAAGATCAAACGATATGTTTGGGAAAGTTTCATGTGATTTAGCCTCGAGAGGTTTCGTATCCATCGTAATTTTAGTACAATCATATGTCCACTTTTGCATAAATTGTATTCCTTGTGATAGGTATGAACGTTTATTTTCTTGAGAGAAATAGTATACTTGAAATTATTTGGAACGTTTACTTTTCTCAATGTGATGTTTAAACTAAAAGCTAAACGACTAACGACAGTTCTTATATTTCAGTCCATTCTACATCTTAGTTGTCAACGGTGAAAACACATCAGCATTTTGTGTATGTAGCATTTTGTATATAGCATTTTGAATTATAATTATAAATTAATATAGATGTCTATCGGCCAAAGTATTAACTTACTATCAGGTAGACTGTGTACTCGTTTGTCACCCAATGCTATAAAACATATTATTCTTTGTTAAAAATAATCGATCAGCTATAACCTGAAGGACCCTCACAGCACAGTTATAAGATGCTCACAGCATCCGAATATCATCACCAAAATCATTTTGTACATGTTGTAAGAGGCGCCCAGGAGACCAGAAAAATCTTATGGCCTCTATTATATTACAGCTACCAAACATTATGTATTAATTATATTAACTTAGAAATGTACCACATTCAATTTTAGTACTGCATTTTTGTTCATCAATGTTTGCTGTTCCCATATTCATCATCCAAATTTTTTTGAAGATGTAAATACAACAAATGTAACTATAACAAAAATAATAACGTTCCCCACTCATTTTTTTATAAAATTGAAGTGATAAACGAACTTATTGTTCACTTGATTGTAAGTGGCTACAAAGGCTGAATTGTGGATTTAATTACTTTTTTCTATCTTGTTTTATTTCAGTTACAAGCAATTGTTCAAGCGAAAGTACGGTACAGATCGCGAGTTTAGAAATCGTGGTGCCATTCTTTAATTAACGTTACCACGCTTAACACAAGTATTTTACGCTTGCTTAGAGAGGTTTACGGGGACTTTATTAAAAAAAGTTAATGATATTCCTTCTAATATCATCACGAAATACTATCCAAAGCTGGTGAATGACTTGAGATAGGACTTGCTATATTATCATACATTTGTACGCAAATCTAGAGGTATTCATCTCGTCCAGATCGCTATCACAGCTTTTAATTATACTGGCTCTCTATGTCTTTAAATAAGGAAAAGACAAATCGTAAAAAAGAGATAAGAAAAAAAGGTACTAACGAAGAACTCAAGAAAGAAAACAACGCGTTTAGGTATCTGAAGAATAAATTATAGAAGAACCTCTAGTAACATTGCTAATAAATTAGGAGTGACAAACTTTAAAGAATCACGTTTGACAAAATAAAGAAAAAATTTAAAGCAAATCCCTTCAAAAGAAGGAAGACCAACAAATTGTAGAAGATTTTTCAAAAATAAAAAGAAAAGAAAAATGAGCATACGAGAAACTCCTGGGCTATACCTGGCCCAAACACATCGGTGGTTTAACAACATATTTGAGTGCTAGAGCAGCAGAAATAAATCAGGGGTACAACCAGCAATTTGCCAGATTTTTAGCAAGCACAATACCTACATATCTCGAAAGCGCCAAATGTAATTCAAATTATGTCCCTTCGATGATTAATACGCAGTTTTAGAAAAAAGAAAAATTTTAAATCATTTATTAACAAAGTAAGAAAAACGCAAAACACTTTAACATGGTAATATTATGATGAGCAACCAAATAACTACACAAAACTATGATTAAAGATAATAACGTAATGACAGTGCCTCGCACGCACTACAATCCAATCAAAAAAAAATATTTAAAACTGACAATTACTAACTACTAATAACACTCACAGTTTAAGTTACATAAATTAAAACAATTCGGAAAAAAAGGCAAAGGAAAGGCAAAAACAAGTAAACAATGTATATTAGGGGAAACATTAGTAATAGTAGAAATATTCAAAATTATGTAATATTTTCTCATTTGGAATACATAAATACAGATAACATAAATTATAAATATTATCTATATACATAAATTATAAATATTATCTAACTAACGCAACAATAAATCGGTAAACATCTACTTGTAATAATAATAATAATAATATTGTAATAATAATAATAATAAAAAGGCGTAGGGAATTGACGACCCCATCGCCCGCTGACGTAACAGTTAAGTGACAAAACTGCTACGTCAACGCAGTCAGTCAGCGCCTTGCGAGAGGTGTGAGCGCCGTGCCGCGGCAGAATTTAGGGTGCAGAGGCCCGTTTGTGCTTATGGCTACACACGAAACGGTGCCGGGCCTGGGCGTCTCCCGTTAATGGACGCCCAAATAATGGATGATGGATAAAAAAGATAGTGCGCAAAGGGCCGCTGCCTGGGGGTCGCCGGGGGCGCGTCTGGAGCTGGCGCTGGACGCGGCAGCATGCGGGCCGCCAGCCGAGCGCGAGGAGCTGCACGGTCATCTACCAGCCCTCCGCATCCATCATCCCCACCAGAAGGCTTGGTGTCGGCTGGGTCTTCTCGGACTCAGCAAGCGGCACCCGCCGCTGGTGGAGCACGTCGCATGCGTTGGTCACAAGAAATGAATGCAAACGCACTGCGGGCGTACTTTAGGGCAAAAGGGGAAGAAACTGGATGTTTGGCGTATCGGGCTAGGATGCATCGTCTTTTTGCTGAGCTGGAGCCATCTTTAATCGTCACAGAGCAAAACCTGGCAGACCGAGTTCGGTATATCTTGCGCTCAAATATATTTGATGTCGCCGAACTCGAACGGCTACGACGTGAGGCTGTTCCCTCGTCGGATGAGAATGCTACGGCTGAGGATGCGGCGCCACAAATGGTAGAGCAACCCGCAAACGTGGATGCCGCCGTGAATACCCCAGTTGTGGTTGATTCAAACGATGATGGAACAGTCGCCCAGGAACTGGAATTAGAGCATATGAGGAGTATATTGGAAGAGGCGATTGTGGAAACGCGCAGTACGCCTCTCGAAAATCGACCGCGACTTCCCCGCATAGCCCTAAGCAAGCGGAATCGGGCTGTCGTGAGGGCTCTGAACCCAATGCTGGTTACCTATTTGGAAGCCAGCCGGGACCTTTGCGAGACGGACTCAATTCTTTTTGGCGCCGCGCTGGCAGTCTGCCGTATCATAGGCGCCAAGGTTTCCACGGCTGGACGCGCTGTTGGCCATAGTAGCGCTATCCCAGCATGGAGAAGAAGAATTGAGGAACGTATCGCAAAGGCTAGAGCTCTCATCGGCAGACTGATATGCTTCAGATCAGGCAACAACAGGCCAAGAATTGTGCGCACCGTCAGGATGGCGTTTGCTGGGACAAATGTCAGTTTGTCCCAGCCGGATATAACGCAAAAACTGACGGAGCGCATAGATGATCTGAAGCAGAGAATCGCTGCTTGGGGAAAGCGGATTCGGCGATATACCGAGAGGTCGACACGGTTCAACCAGAATCGTCTCTTCCAGAGTGATCAGAAGAGGCTCTATGAATCATTGGAGCGACCAATGGTAAGTGGAACGGGTCCAGCACCGAATCAGGCCGACACTGTAGCATTCTGGCGCGGCCTGTGGTCAGAGCCCGTAAACCACAGCGAGGGCCCTTGGACGGAAGTTTTGGCGAGTCAGTGTGCGGGTATTACGCCCATGGACCCCGTCATCATAACGCCGGATGACGTAGCTGAGGCGGTTCGTAGGGCCCCGAACTGGAAAAGTCCGGGGCTTGACGGGCTGCATCACTACTGGCTGAAGGGGTTCATGGTGTGTCACTCTGTGCTCGCCCGACAGTTTCAAGAGGCTCTCAACCAGAAGTCGCTCCCAAGCCTCTTCACTACTGGGATCACTCATTTAGTTCCTAAAGACCAGGGTACCACAGACCCGAGCAAATACCGCCCCATCACGTGTCTACCGACCATATACAAGACACTAACATCCATTTTGAGCGCGAGAATCACTTGTCACCTGGACTCAAATCAGGTGATGTCGCGCGCTCAAAATGGATGTCGGGGCGGTGGTCGTGGAACCAAGGAACCACTCCTCATTGACGCGGTCATTGGCAAAGTGGTGAAACGCAACCGTCGGAACTTCTCCGCCGCCTGGATAGACTACAGAAAGGCATTCGACTCGGTGCCCCATACATGGCTAAAGAGAGTCCTCGAGCTGTACAAGATAGACTGTACAGTTAGAGACTTCCTCGAGCAGTGTATGGGGCAGTGGAGTACGATCCTTTGTCATCTAGGCGAGCGGATGATGGCTGCGGAGAACCACATAAGGATAAGAAGGGGTATCTTCCAGGGCGATTGTCTGAGTCCAATCTGGTTTTGCCTCTCTCTGAACCCTCTCAGTACCTTACTGGAGGGCTCCGGGAGGGGATTTCAGCTACGGAAAGGAGGGACAAATGTGACCCACCTTTTCTATATGGATGACCTCAAGTTATTCGCCTCCAGTCGCTCCCATCTTATGGAATTGCTAAACATCACTTGTGAATTTAGCAATTCCATTGGAATGGAGCTGGGGACGGATAAGTGTGCGGTCCTCCATGTTGAAAGGGGAAGGGTTGCTAACTCTGAGGGCGTAGACTTATCTATGCCCGTCAACTTAAGGACCCTTTCCGAGGCTGAAACATACCGATACCTGGGTATGTCACAAAACATCGGTATCGATGAGACTGGTATGAAACAGTCAGTTTGCGACGTGTTTTATGCACGCTTGACCAAAGTGCTTAACAGCCTTTTGTCCGGTGTGAATAAGGCACACGCATATAACGGCTGGGTCATGCCTGTCCTCATGTATACCTTTGGCATACTCAGGTGGACTCAGACTGAACTTAACGCCCTGGATAGAAAAGTCCGCACTACAATGACGTCCCATAGGATGCATCATCCGAGATCGTCGGTAATGAGGCTGTACTTGCCGCGGAAGCATGGTGGTCGTGGCTTCTTGAGCGCGCTCACCATGCATAATCGCGAAGTGTGCAGCCTCCGTGATTACTTCCTGGCGAGATCGGATGATCCATTCTATAAGGACGTCATTTCTTGTGATAAAGGTCTTACCCCTCTATCCTTAGCCAACGAGCAATGGCAAGACCCGGCAATGCAGATGTAGCAGCCAGATTAATCAAACCTAAACGGGAATAAATAATATATACTCCGCTGCTACCATAACGCGGAAGGCGAGAATAAATAAAAAAACATTTTATTTCCTAATTATTCTTGGCTACTGAGATACTGCGGACTGTATATAGATAATTTGACGTTCTTATAAAGAAACAAGAAGCAGCCGCAAATATCATTCAGCGCCACACCGACTTCACACGCCGCTATCGTCACGTATCCGTCGACCAATGGTGAGCCGTTTCTTCAACGCCGCAGTTCGTTTCCTCTTGCTGTTCCGGAGCTGTATTCCACACCGCCGCCGCCCGCCGACTACGCGTGCGCACCGATCTGCATGTCTTATATAGCCCGGTCCAGCGACGTAGCTTCGTGAACAACAAACAAGTCTCACGCCGGGAAACGAAACATAGATAATTGTATATTTTAAATAGTTTTCATTGGTCATAAAATAAGCAATATAATTGGCTAGGCAAAATATTAATTGTTACCATTGGCAAATCAATAGTGAGCCAGCCATATAAATATAGGCAAGGTTGATGCAAAAGATATTCCATTCCGAATCCCATTCGACAGTATATTCATAAACATAAACAGTAGTTTCATTTCTCCACCTTAAAGAAAACCACTCGGAGTCTGTTAATAGTGGACAGTTCGTCTCCACTATTACAGTGGTGACCCCGTACGAACACCGAGGGGGAAGATCCGGTACGAACACCAAGAAGGAACACCCTGCGACGTACCACTACTATTGCACGAACACCGCGAAGGAAACCCGTACGAACACCGGGAAGGAAGACTTCAGTTTATATAAAATCAGTGTAATCAAGCCGTCATTATGGAGCAGGAGGCAAACACATATACATCAAACCCGGTAAAGGAACCAGAAATCGCCGGTATATCTCTATCGTTAAGAATACCACCGTTTTGGAGAGACAAACCACGACTTTGGTTCGTCAGTTTTGAAGCCGCAACGAATGGTTTAAAGAAGAGCCAAGCGCAATTAGCACAGATGGTGATAGCCCAACTTGAGAAACAAGACATCGAACAAATTGCGGACCTGTTGTACAACCCACCAGCAGTCGACCAGTATAATTCACTGAAGGATCGTCTGATCTCCGCATATGAAGAATCCGACAGTCGACAGCTACAAAAACTTCTATCAGAAATAGAACTTGGAGACCAGAAACCCACACAACTCCTACGCAAAATGCGTACTTTGGCGCGAGATAAAGTTCCGGATTCAACACTACGGCTAATGTGGGTAAACCACCTACCACCACATATTCGATCGGTAATAGCAGTCAGCGAAACATTCAGCACGCAGACGAAGCTCGACGAACTGGCACTCCTGGCGGACAAGATGATCGAAAACAGCAGTAGCTCACACATATCGATCATCGAAGGCACTTCAACAAAGGCCAATGATACCCAGTTTCTTTTCGAAGAAATTCGGAAGCTATCATTCGAAGTCGCCGCGCTCAAAGCTTCCCAGCATCATACCTTTTACCAGCAACAGTACAACCAGCGCAATCAGCAACACCGAAGATCACCTTTTCGTCGCAACCGCTCTGCAAGTAGAAGTCGAATAAGCTCAACATCAAGATCCCCTTACTGCTACTATCATCGACGTTTCGGGGTCGAGGCAAGAAAATGCACAGCACCGTGTACATTCAAAAATGAAAATACGAATACGGAAAACTAACTAGTACGCTCGATGCGACGGGATCCAGCGTAACAGCAAAGTCCTACCGTCTTTTCGTCACCGATAAAAAAAAGCAAGCTTACTTTCCTTATCGACACCGGAGCAAATATCTCAGTGTTACCGCCGAAGCAAGGACAGAAGTTGAAGCCACTAGATTTTCAACTCTATGCAGCAAACAATACGGTTATTCCTACATATGGAGAAAAAACAATGGAACTTGATTTTAATCTACGCCGACCATTCAAATGGAGATTTATCGTCGCTAAAGTCAGCAAACCAATCATCGGTGCTGATTTTCTTCAATATCACCAGTTGGTCGTCGACATCAAAAATAGAAGAATCATCGACGGGAAAACCAATCTTGCATCTCAGTCTTTTGTACAAGCAACCAATCTGCCCACAATAAGAAGCATAGATGTGCAACAACCGTATCACAAGATCCTCGAAGAATACCCTGGTATCACAAGAATAACTTCAATGAAATTAACACCGAAGAACGACGTTGAGCATTTCATCGACACCAATGGACCACCACTTCATTGTCGTGCACGTCCAATCGCACCACACCTAAACGAGCAAGTTCGAAAGGAATTCGAAAACCATGATTGAGCAAGGAATATGCCGTCCAAGCAAAAGCCCTTGGTCATCACCACTTCACATTGTACCGAAGAAGAACGGAGAATTACGAGTTTGTGGAGATTACAGAAGACTGAACCCAATACCGCGAGTCAGGGATTTCACTCATCAACTATCAGACAAGACTATATTCTCCACCATCGATCTCAACCGAGCTTACCAACAAATAAGAGTCCGCGATGAAGACATAGAGAAGACAGCAATAATTACCCCAATGGGATTATTCGAATTCCCAAGAATGATCCCAGGATTAAAGAACGGAGGTCAAACTTTCCAAAGATTCATACACGAAGTACTTCATGGACTGGATTTCGTTTTCGCATTTATTGATGATCTCCTTGTTGCAAGCCCTGATAAAGAAACGCACGAAACCCATCTACGCACCGTGCTACAGCGATTAGAAGACAACGGAATCACAATCAACCCTTCGAAATGCATATTTGGACAGCAAGAAGTTCAATTTCTTGGTTTCACCGTCAGCAAGGAAGGAATAAAACCGCCTGCCGAAAAAGTCAGAGCAATCATCGATTATGCAAAACCTAAAACTATCGAAGAGCTAAGGCGTTTTCTCGGGATGATAAATTTTTACAGAGAACACATACCTAAAGCCGCTGAAATCCAAGCACCACTTCACGCCTACCTTCACAACACGAAGAAAAAAGATAAAACGTCAATCGAATGGAACGATGAAGCCACGAAGGCATTTGAAGCTTGTAAAATTGCGATCCAAAATGCAGCTTTACTCGCTCACCCATCACACGAAGCAACCCTTGCTATCTTCAGCGACGCATCCGATCTCTCAGCAAGAGCAGTTCTCCAACAATACAGCAATGGGAAATGGCAACCACTTGGATATTTTTCGAAGAAGTTCTCCGATACTCAACGTAACTACAGTACATTCGACCGAAAGCTACTCGCTATTTACATGGCTATCAAGCACTTCAGAAAAACGTTCGAGGGTCGAAACCTGATCGTTTTTACCGACCACAAGCCATTAACATATGTACTTCCAAAGAAACCATCACTATCGGAAACACCACGAAGAGCAAGACAACTTATTTTCATAAGTGAATTCACGACCGACATACGTCACATCAGTGGAAAGGACAACATAGTTGCCGACGCACTCAGTCGCGTACCAATCGACAGTGTAACGTGCCCTACATCAATCGACTATCATAAGATCGCCGCAGCACAAGACAGAGATAGTGACAACATAAAACATCTAGCGAAGCAAGGTAACTTGTCCATCAAGCAAGTTACAATGCCAATGACGCATCTACCAATATACTGTGAAGCCTCAACGACAA